GTCATTATAGGGGACTTACACTCCTGGGGCTGATAATTATTGCATGTCCTTTCCCTGTCAGTGTTTTGCTATGTTTGCTGACAGTTCAGCTGCTGTGGAGTTCTCCTCCATAGCTGGTCAGAAGAAGGCCAGCGACCAGAGACTTCTCTGCATTTTAGGAGGTGTGCACTAGACATCTGGGGAATGAAACTATATCAGGGGCTCCTCACTGTGTATTAAATTTGTCACACCAGGGTGTGCTAGGGCCAGAAAGTATTACAAAAGAAACTGAACCTTTTTGTCTTGAAGGATTATATTTAGGAAACAAAAAACAACTACCAATATTTAAGTATGCATCCAAGGGAATAATCAGTCTTGGATATGTTAACTTGGCTTCTCATTTTTCTTATATGATTTTAGTATTTTTTTTAAATGCACATTATTAACTCTCATTAATAAGCTGTTATGACAAAAAATGTTTAAAAATATGGGCGAAAAAATTCGTAATTCTGTCTGTGTCCTCCGTTGGGAGTTTTTCTTTTAAAAATTCAAAAGTAGCAAATCTGTCAGAATGTTCATCCCATCAATTAATTTCATTTTCTAAACTGTCAGCATAAGTTCTCTGCTCTAACCTTGACTCTAAAAGACTAGTAAATTTACTTCTTGTTGTTGTTAAATTGCCGTCTAGTCAATTCCAATTCATAGCAACCCTGTATAGGGTTTCCAAGGAGCTGTTGATGAATTTGAACCACCAGCCTTGCATTATCCAGTAGCACCACACCAGGACTCATCATAGTATTTATGAAGAAATGAAAGCATTTAGTTGAAAATATGCTGACCAGGCAGAATGCTAGGGGGAAGTATGGTCAAAGAAAGGAAAGGACAGACTTTAACAGGAGACCTTGAGCAGGCTGAAGTCCCTAAAAAGAAGAGAAGGAAATGCTAATATGCCTACTCAAGGAGAATACTTTCTTACTGAGCCCTCCTGTTTATCAGAAGTGCAATTATAATGGTTTGGGCACTCCAAACCATTGAATTTCCTGGGTGGCCTGACACAGGTGGCTTCAGGCTTTCAATTTGGCCCTGGTTCGGTCTCTCTAGGAGACTGAGTCTCTCCATGGATGTCCAGATGTCTATTCCACTAAGCCGTGGCACTTGCCTTTTAATCTGTCCCCCATATGGTACCATTAGGAAACTGTCTCCCCACAGATGTTCAGATATCTATTTGCATATCCTCACAGTAGGCAAAAACAGTTACCCACACATACAAGACAAGTTTAAAGAAAAAGACTTTTGCTAGGGTGAAAGTGGCACTCAGATCAGACTGTGAGAAGCCCAAGAGGGGTGGGATCATAGCAAGTAGGGACACGATAGCAAAAATTGTCCTGGCAGCTGCTTGTCTATGTAACTGTAGTCAGACAGGCTTTCTCAGGGATTTGGGGGTCTAAGGAGGGGGACAAAAAGGTTCGTGACCACCATTATTGGGGATGGGAGGTGTCTTAAACTTTAAATAGAGGGTCCTTGTCTTTGCGGAACAAGAATTGATCAGGCTAGACAGAGAGTTTCACCCAAGCAAAAGAGTTACAGATTTATTTATTGAGAGGAAAAGATCTAGTCAGAGGAGACTAGGAGGAATTTGCAATGCTATCTCTCATCTTTAGGGTTTTTAGAGGATTCTTGGGCAGGGAAGGTGGGAAAGGCTTTTATGTTTATTTATGATTCTTCTTGGGAAAGAGGAGGGGACGTGATGGGGCTAGGATAATGACGTGCATGCACTGTAAGAGTTCACAATGGACTTGGTTCCATCCAAGGTGGAGTTGGCTGTGAAGGCATCTGGGAGAGACTGGCAGGACATATGTGGTGGCAAACATACGTTTTGTCTCTGGACCCCGAGTTGGGTTCCAAATGCTTGGCTGCTCTCATTGAGAGGTCATGAAGAAGTCAGGTCTGGAGACACTGCTGCTTGTTTCAAAGACTGGCCTTCAGTTCACTCCTGTAAGACACTTCTAAAGAGGTTTATTAAGCAACTAAATATAATTAACTGCTTTGTTTCAGGATCTGGCTGCTCAGATATATGCACAAGATACGTAATAGACATCTTTAGAATTTCTCAGGTAAGATAAGTGGGGGCACAGTCCTCAATATGTCTCAAGAATTTGGTCATAACAGTTTAGTTAATAAATGGCCCATATTTTAATCTGGTTTCTGGACCTCCTTTTCTTCCTGCCTCAGAATGTCTGAAATAGTATACCATTTTTTTTAATAGTCATCATGGAGGTGTGGAGAGGAAGTTGGTCCGACATAGGCAGGGAGTATGGAGGGCCTGCTTGATGGGGGTGATCGCAGGTTTACAGTGTAGAGTCTTCTTTGCTCTGTATCCTTCTCCAGCAATGCAGGCTTTTCAGGTGCAGCCCCAGAAAAATCAGAGTTTGAGTTCCTGCAGGCAAAAAGTGTTCCAATAGTGAAAGCTGCTACTGGAAATCAGCCTGAATAGGACTTGAAAGAGAGAGAGAGAGAGAGAGAGAGAGAGAGAGAGAGAGAGAGAGAGAAAAGACCTGGAAGATATATGGGTATAATGGGAAGTAGGTAAGGGATAGAGTCCAGCTGGAGCAGGAGTTGGGTGGCAAGCAAGGGAAATTTTCTATCTGCAAGGACTTTACAGAAACCCAGGAAGGGACCATTCACTAGATATTAAGGATGCTTGGCTCAGTGAAATTCAGAAACAGTAGTTTCAGGGTTATTGTTGTTTAGTGATGTTGAGTCTGTCCCAACTCATAGCAACCCTGTATAGGGTTTCCGGGGAACAGCTGGAGAGCTTGAGCCACCGATCTTGGGGTTCAAAGCAACCTGTAGTCCAGCGCGTTAGCCCACAGCGCCACACCAGGTCTCCAGAGTAAAATATGGTAAACAGTTGGCACCCCCACCCCCGCTACAGCTGACTGCGGTCCACCTCCATAGCAGACTTAGACATTTGGTGTGTGTCCCTGCAGACTTTTAAAGTATACACACATATGTATCTGCAAGCAGTATATAGGCTTGTCTTCCATCTTATAAGTTGCAAATTTGTAATCAAGGCTAGACATTGTTCTGCAGTTTGCTTATTACAGGCATCTGAATGCTTCAGAAATCTATGTTCACGCAGTCCCAGTATGTTCCTTTTGATTGCCACATTTTATTCTACTGGATACATATATCAGGTTGCATTTATCAATGTCCTCACTGATCGGGATTTAGATTGCTCCCAGTTTTCCCTCTTGCCAACATCCTGGGCACGTTTCTGCACAAGGCATGCCAGTGTTTCTCAAGATGTACTTGGCAGTGAATTTGATGGGTCATAGAGGGAATGGACGTTTTTCAGTTGTCATGGTTTCAATTTGAATATGGACTCTGGTGTCAGGCTGCCTGGTTTCACCCTGACACTTCTACTGACAGGTTGAGTGACCTTGGGCAAGCTGCGGAACCTCTCTGTGCCTGTTTCCTCATTGTGAGAGGACGATACTAGTAGGAAATTTGATCATAGGATTCTTGTGATGAATGCTAAGAAGAGTACCAAACACATAGTCCATGTCTATATTTTGCTGTTCATAGACTGCAGACTGCAAAATATCCCTCCAAAAACAGATGTCTGAACTTACATGCCCTCCGAGAGAGTGCAAATGCACTGGTTTCCTGACAAGCTCTCCAACCCTGGGGATCATTAAGCTCTTAAATTGTTACAAGCCTGGTGTGTGAAAAGCGTTTTTTGGATTTTGGTTTGCATCTCCAAGATGGGGGTTGATGAACCTCTTTTGGGGTGTCCAATGTCCAGAGGCATTCTCTCTCCTTTGACATAAAGGGTAAACCCTGACCTGTCAATATAATTAAAGTAGTCTATGGCTGCAGTCTTAAGTGCCAAAAGGGCAAAGCTGCGCAGTTGCACATTGCCACAGACACTGAACAGTGCACAATTCCTAAAATATTTGCCCTTTACAGGAAAAGGTATGCCAACCCCGATTATGAATTTGTGGACTTCGTTTGCCTATTCTCCTTAAGGATTTTAAGTCATTCTTCAGAAACCAGGCTTGTGAATACTTTCTGTCCTAAGTGTTCCACCTTCACTGTTACATTTTACTCCCATTGTTGTTGTTGTGTGCTGTGGAGTCGGTTCTGACTCATAGCGACTCTGTACGGGGTTTCTGAGGCTGTAAATCTTTACAGGAGCAGAAAGCCTCATCTTTCTCCCGGAAACAGCTGGTATTTAAGAACTGCTGACATTGAGGTCGCAGTCCGATTTGGAACCACTACGCTACCAGAGTTCCTTTTTACTCCCATGTTGTTGTTGTTAAGTGCGGTCGAGTTGGTTCAGACCCAAAGCGACCCTGAACAGGGTTTCCAAGGCTGTAAATCTTTACGGGAGCAGAGAGCCTCATCTTTCTCCCGAGGAGCAGCTGATAGTTTCGAACTGCTGACCTTGCGGTTCGCAGTCCGATTTGTAACCACTACACCACCTGCTATTTCTTGGGTGCCGCTGTAGGATAAGCACTGGACAGCAAGATCGTTATGAACAGCAAGGTTGGTGGTTCAAATTCACCAACTGCTCCTTGGAAATGCAATACTGGGTCGCTAAGAGTCGGAATTGAAAACAGTAGCGCATAAATCGAGACTCAGAGACCCAAAAATCATTGGTCAGGAGATTAACTTCAGAAGAAGCTGCACGGGAAGAGGCGGGGCCAGAGCCCCGACAACCCCACCTAGCCATCTGATTGGCTGCCACCTGCCTGAATAGCTGTGAAGACAACCAAACACCCTCGTCGTTACTGGTTAGATTCTGAGGTGCGGTCGAACAAGGGGCCCACTGGTTGGCTGGTAGGGAGGCCACATGAGGCCACCTCGACCAGGCTTCGAAGGTTCTTGGCGGAGCTTCATTTGTGGCAATCAACCGTGTGCGGCCTTTGTGACATCAGAAGGTGTCGCTTGGGCCGTACGTGTGTGTGCTAATGCACCGCCGGGCTCTCGTGCTGCCTCAAGGGCGATCCGGCAACATGAGCTCGCCAGATGAGGTGCCTTTTGGGGGAGCCAGTCACAGCCCAGAGAAGGGGGAGAAGGGCAGCCTCCGGGGGGCTACCACTGGAAGCCCACGGGGGCGCAGACGAGGCCTTGATGTGGGGACACCACACAGCGGCGAGAGTAGGGCCGGCCTCCCAGTCGCTGTAGGGTTCAAGGTGGAGAGGGAAGTGATAGGAGACAGAGGGGCAGTGCGGCGGAGCCGGCAAGGCCGACCAGCCTCGCCGACCGGCAAGAAGGAGAATGCTCTAGAGTACATACTGCACTTCGAAGAGACTGAAGAGTCCTTGGCCACGGCGCGGCCTATGACCAAACGGGATACACGGAGGGTCCGGAGAAACTCCTCCCCAGAAAGCTGCGCCACTCAGGTATTTCCCATTTGAGGAGATGTAGACACAGGCCCCAAGGGTAGACGGTCACCCGCCCCTAGCTGTGCAGACTCAGAGCGGGGGTCTCCCGCTGCATTCACATCTGCTCCCAACCTCAGTGGGCCCGAGGGAGGTCATGCCCGGGGAAGCCCTGAAAGAGGCATTGAAAGTCGGTTGAATATTAATTACTGTGACTCTTTAGCGGCCCTGCATGGAAGAAGACCTGGCCGGGGTGCCTTCCGACTCCGAGTCATCGGATGAGTTCAGTGAGATACCACTGATGAAGGTCATCATTCAGCCCAAAGCGAAAGTCCAAGCAAAGTCCGACTGCCCAGAGGATCCCGGAGACGCACCCAGAGCCTCGAATCCCCACGCCAAGGATAACGTCGTTCATGTGCCAGATTCGTTCCTGAGTGCCACTGCACGCCGATTCCCTTCAGCTGCAGAAAGACAGCAGCCTGTTGGAGAACTTGAGATGTCTTCACGGAAGAAAATGCAAAGTGTGGCCTGGGGCAAGAAAGGGGCCAGGCCTGACTACCCAAGGGCTGCCTCTGCTTCTACTACTACTGCTGCTGTTGCTGCTGCTTCTGTATACGACTTGCCCCGGGCCACTCTTAGAAAGAAAGAAGCCCAGGAGAAGAAATGCCTAAGTGGTGCCTCAAAAGTTGCCCTGGAAAGAAAACACCCATCCTTACCTTCGTGGGGGCAGAGAGTCCCCATGAGCCTCCCTGAGCCAGCCACCTTCCCCCCAATCTCTGGCATCTCACTGCTTGGGAGATCTAAGAGGGAATCTTCGGTCCCTTCGGGACCCAGGCAGCCCAGACACAATGCAGGGAAGAAATCTCTGGTGAGCAGGACAAGAGAGTTGGAGCTGGTGACTCAGGATGATGACCCAAACAGAGATCCAACCTCAATGGATCTAGTGAGTAGACCCTCTCCTTTCCCCAACTCTACTCCTTTGCTCTGAGTTTGTCACTGGGTGGGTGCCCTTGTCATCAGAGTGCCCAATCAAGCTCATTTTCATAGGAACAGACATTAAGATTTTACTCTGTTCCAGTCACTGTTCTCAATACTTGACATGCGCTTTGAGCCCTTTGCCCAGAAAGGAATGGGCCAAGAAGGGAGGGCAGTCATGAGCCTTCCTTACAGGTTTTCTCAGTTGCCCCACTTTTTACCTTGGCTCAGCTTTGCCTCTTGGCCTAGGACTAACTAGGGGAGAAATTGCTAAAGGAGATCAGATTCCCCTCCCTCCTATTCCCTGCCTCACCCTAACCCCTACAGACACACACCCGAATCAGCCAGAAAGTTTTCTTTTAGTTTCCAGCAAGCAGGCTGGGGCCATCTTCCCAGTCCTTGTATTGTGGAGAAGGAAGCAGTGGAGAACCCAGCCCCAGGGCTCCCCAAGTTCCAGGAAGCTCACAGCCCTTGGCCCTTGACCAGGAAGTCGTCAGGCCTAGGAATCCTACACCGTCAGGTGAGTCTTGTGGCATTGGGGAAGGGGACCCAGAGGGACAACTGTCACTTGTGGGGGCCTCAACCCTACTCCCATGCCTCTCTGCCTACCCAGACAGCACTTTATAGGAAGCAGGATGCAGACAGGGTTGGCCTTAAGCCCAAGTGTCCTCTGCATGAGGTTTTCGTGGTGGGGGTGATTTGTAGCAGCACCCCTACCTCCAACTGCAAAAATAAGTTTTTAGCAGAAAATGCCTTTTCTGTGAGAATTTGTGCGCCACAGTGCTCACTTTGGGGGCCTGGCTTTGGCTGTGCCTCTGCTAGTGTCATAGCCACAGTCCATGAGGTCACAGTACAGATGGGCTGGGACTAGGAGAACAGAGTAGGGAGGCCCAGAGAGAAGGTTGGAGCTTCCAGGCAGAGTAGGAGCAGTTTGTTGCCAGCAGAGTTGCTGCCTCACTGAAGACCCTGTTAAGTCCTTTACACTTGCCTCCTAGGTTCTGGAGTCCTGGTGTGGCACTGCAGGATAATGTGCTAGATAGGCAGTTTAAACCCACTAGAGCGCCTTGGAAACCCTATACAGGGTCGCTGTGGGTTTGAACCAGCTCAGTGGCACTTAACAACAACAATAAGCTAAGTTCTAAAGTTGAATATTTTGTTCTCTTTCAGGTGACCAGCGGCCACTCACCAGTCGCATGAGACAGAATCGGCAGCAGCAACCTCCCAGAGTGCAGGGCTGTCCTAGGGTAATGCCCTTTCTAGCCCCTAGGAACATGGGATTTGCGTCCAAGTTAAACTGACCTTATGTTGTCCCTTCCCTCCGCCTCCTCCCTGCCCTTGACCCACAGGTTGAGGGAGCCTCCTTTTCATTGAAATTTCCATGGGAGTTTAGCCACTGGGCTTTGGGACATAGGGAGTAATGGTAGAGAGGAACATGAGGAAGGAGTAGAAAAGAACGTACTAACGTTTTGTCTTTCTCTATTGTCTGCTGGTCTAGTGTGTCATGCTCCAGAAAGAGATAGATGAACTTAAAGAACAACTTGGTATGACAAACCTCTGGCTGGTGGGGGTAGGGTCAGCGGCAGGCCAAGGTACCTGAACTTCTTCTGTATATTCGTGCATGTTGTCAATAGGTCCTAGAGTTCTTGTAGAAGCATTAGGGACGCCTCATTTATTTTCCTCTTTAATTGACATTAGGTATTTAGGATATATGCATTCATGTGTTTGATTGTTGGGTTGTATTTTAATGCTTCTGATATGCTCCACAGTTTGAGAATTTCTGGTTCCTTGGCTTCCTGGTTAGAAAACATTTCACATTGGATTCAGATGCCGAGAGGGACAGTCAGTCCCAGGGCTGGATATGGCCATATTCAGATAGGGGCTGGAAGGGGTTTCAGGTTGCAGGGTTAGGCCATTCACACAAAGAGACAAGGGGATAGGTTCTGTACCCCTATGTCTGGATTATCTGGCTTTGCCTTTCTATGTTTCAGCGGCCCTGCAGAGCCTCACTGACAAGTTCCTGAGCCTTATAAGTGAGTGTTTACATATACCATGTCCTTTCTCACAGTCTTGGCTGTTCAGGAAGGCTGTGGCTAGTCCTAGCATGTGGCTCTTCTCTGACTCTGTTCTGTTTGACAGATTGAACCCAGCATCCTGATACAAGAGAAGCAGCTGGTGCTGATGTCTTCTGAGACCAGGAGCAATGGCTAAGCTGGTTGCTGCCTGTTCTTTATGCCTGTAGGGGGCTTTCTCTTTTCTACATCTGCTCCTGCCCACCCCACTTTGCAATTGTTTCAAATTAAATATCTCTCATAGTCTGTGGTCTGCCTTTTCTTTGTTTGGGAAGATGGGAGGTGTCGGGATGACTCCACTATAGAGCAATTTTAAGGTTAAGTACCTCTGGCATTCTGTGGCCTCCCCTGCTCTCTGTAGGGAGTCTGGGCCAGCCTCTGAGTAGGAGCTCTTAACAGCCAGCCTTACCAGAGTGACTTGGTTTGGGCGTAAGCACCAGGAGGGCTCTGCCCTGCCGCATTAGCATTTCCCATACAGGTACTATGAATATTCTCTCCTGATCATCTTTCTTTCTCATTTATGGGTTCTGTAGTTTCCTTTCATCACTGCTGTTGCCCCTCCTCTTTAGCAGGAACCAGTTACCCACTTCAGAGCTTGGGTTCTTTTCCTCTCTTTTGTATCACTGTCCTGGTTCTTTGCTTTTGCCCCTTCTCTACTCTTGTGACCATCCATGAGCTCTCCCATGGCTGTATGTCCCTTGACCTCTCCACCAGTCATTTAAACAGGTATGAAACAGTCCCTGTTGAACCCAAGTGTTCTCCTTCCCTGTCCCTTTTCACTTTTTGGATTCATTATATACCACTGCTGCCACCAGCAGTGTCAACTTGGGCATCATGTTCTTCATTTTAGTTACTCCGCCAGTTCTCGCTCCTTACTTTCAGTAGCAGATGGAGGCAATTCACGTCACGGTGGTTGCAGAGCAAAGAGGCGGGTAGAGAGAACACAGACAAATGAAGATGTAAAAGTCAAGGTAAAAGAGTGTGAAAAAAATTATTCATGAAAATTCTCCCTAGAAGGAAGGAGATCTGATTTTAGAGTATAAAGTGTGTAGACACTGGTCAGGAATACATTAGGGATGGAGATGGCCCAAAACAGGGGTGACATTTACATTTTCCATGGGTGTTGACGTGATTAAACCATAAGTGTGCAGGTGGAGGGGAAGAGTCACTGAACCCAGTGGCAGACTTTCAGGACTCTGGAAATGTTGAAGTTGCTGGTATAAGATTGATCTTGATATTACTGTGAACAATATGATGATTCAAAAATACTCTGTGTTATTGAGTGAGGTTGGAAGGTTAAAGGTGGCTACTTCAGAGTGGCTAAGAAGAAACTTATGTTCAAAGCATGGAGTTCAGGTAGGAGAATGCATAGCATTACTTAATGGGTATCCGAATTGGATGGGCAGTAACAAAGCAAGGTAGTGTGAATGTTGGTTAGACTTGGTACCACCCTTCATATGTCTTCATCCTAGGGCTCCATGGTGTGAGTTCTGGTAGAAAGACCATCAAGGATGTGATAGGACAATCATAGACCTCATAGCTATAAGGTTTATAGTGCAGGTTTAGTGCATTCAGTACAAACCCATGACTTAAGAAGATTGGCTTGATTGCTTGATCTAAGTCTATGATCCTGTTTCAAACAGGTGTAACCTAACAGGCCAGTGTCTGATGATCCGTTTGGCAGACACTTTCCAACAGGGGCTTATGCAGAGCAAACCATCTCAGTAAGTTCCTACTAAGGGAAGAAATCCAGCATCAAGCCGCTGCCACAGGAGGCACAGGGTCACCAGTCTCCAGGGGGAGGAATGAGAGAAGCATGTTGGAAGAATTGAGAGGGTATGCCAGTTCCATGAAGAAACAAGGGGCAGATATAGAGATTTAGTTTAGAGACATATCTGGGCCCCTTTGGGTAGGAGAAAGCCAGACCCCTCCCTTAGTTCTGTGGTATCTTTTTTGCCTGTACCTTCAAGGTAACTCTGCAGCCAAAAAGGAAGTGGCTGCTGAGCTGAGTCAGCTCCAGGTGCTATTCCATCTCATTCTACTACTTGGCCTCCTCCCCACCACCATTACTAGCCAACTGCCCTCTCTATAAACTTAGGAGGTAATGGCATAGCTTAGGGAGGTAGGAGAAAGAGGATGGCAGAGAATGAGCTTAATGGGAGAGTCAGCTGGGAGAGCAACGGTCCTCAAAGATAGCCAAGTGCCTTATACCAGGAATTGTATGTTAGGCTTCATGGCAAAGGGGGTTTAAGTTTGCAGGCAGAGTTTAACGAATGCTGATCAGTTGACCTTAAACTAGGGAGATTATCCTGGATGATCCCTGTGGCCTGAAGGTTGTCATAAAACAACTAACCTGGTGCTGTTAAGTCACTTCTGACTCATGTTGACCCCAAGTATTTCAGAGAAGGACTCTGCTTCATAGAGGTTTCATGGCTGTGATCTTTTGGAAGCCTGTCTTCCAGAGTGCCTTTGGGTGGGTTCTAACCAATAATATTTTTGTTAGTACCCAAGTGCTTAGCCATTTGTTTCATCCAGCAACTCCATCACTATAATCACAGGAGTTCATAAACATGGATCAAGAAGTCTGAAGTCTATGCCAGAGTGGTACAATGTGAGATGTACTCCACCCACCTTTGCTTGCTTGGAAGAAGGAGGAACTCAACCTTGAGCCAAGGAACAAGTGGCTTCTAGAATCTTACAAAGGAAAGGAAGTGCATTCTCCCCTAGATCCTTTAGGAAGGAGTGCAGCCCTGCTGACACCCTGACTTTAGCCCAGAGGCACCTGTGTCGAACTTTATTCTTCTAGAACACTAAGAAATGTATGTGGTTTTCAGCAACAAAATTTGCACTACCTTGCAAGGGCAACAGAAAACTCCTACACTAGCAGAGAATGAAATCTCAAATGATACTTAGCTCAAAGGCAGCCCCAGAGATTTGCCAAAATGTGATAATAGGATTGGAGGAAGACTCATTAACAGACTGTAATTTCCAGATAACACATTTTTGTTTTGCTAGCTGGTGATGAAGAGGACTTAAGGTATGTACTGGTGAAGTTTGAAGACCACAGCCTTCTGTATTGAATGCACCTGAATGTAAAGAAAACAAAAATTCTAAAAGATAGATCAGTAAGTAACATTAAGGTAAATGGAGAAAACATTGAAGTTGTCAAAGATTTCAATTTGCTTGGATCCATAATCAACACGTATGGAATCAGCAGTCCAGAAATCTGCTGCAAAAGACTTCTTCAACAGGACAAAGGACTGAAGTGCACCTGATCCAAGCCATGGTATTTACAATAACCTCATATACATGTGAAAGCTGGAAAATGAATAAGGAAGACCTCAGAAGAACTGATGCTTTTGAATTGTGGTGGCAAAGAATAATGAAAGCACAATGGACTGCCTGAAGAATGAACAAACCTGTTTTGGAAGAAGTATGGCTGGATTGTACAATAAAGATGTTGTTGTTAGGTGCCGTTGAGTGGGTTCAAACTCATAGTGAACCTATGCACAACAGAACGAAATACTGCACCATCCTCACAATTGTTAATGCTTGACCCATAACTGCTGCCACTGTGCCAATCCATTGCATCAGGTGTCTTCCTCTTTTTCACTGACCCTCCATTTTGCCAAGCATGGTGTCCTTCTCCAGGGACTGATCCCTCCTGGTAATATGTCTGAAGTATGAGAGACAAAGTCTCATCATCCTGGCTTCTAAGGAACATTCTGGCTGCCTTGATTTGCTTGTTCTTCATTTTGACAAGAAAAAGCACACAAAAAAGGAACTCAGCACAGGAAAGGAGGCAGAACAAAGAAACCAGCAGCACCACAAAAAAAAGCAAACAGCATAATGACAGCATTTAATTCATACCAATTGATAATTACACTGAAAGTCAATGGATTTAACACACCAGTCAATAGAAAGTGGCAGAATGGATTTTAAAACAGGATCCTTCGGTATGCTTTCTACAAGAGACACAACTTAAACACAAAGACAAAAATAGATAAAAAAAATAAATAAAGGATGGAAAAAATACACTAACAAAAGAAGAAATTGATCAGGTCATCAAAAAATTCCCAACCAAAAGAAGTCCAGACCCAGATGGCTTCCCGGGTGAGTTCTACCAAACATTCAGAGAAGAGCTGTCATCATTTCTACTCAAATTATTACAGAATATAGAAGAGGATGGGAAACTTCCTAATACATTTTATGAAGCAAGCATAATCCTCATACCAAAACCAGAGAAGGACATCAATAAAAAAGAAAATTATAGACCAATATCTCTCATGAACATAGATGCAAACATTTTCAACAAAATCCTAACTAATGGAATTCAACATATCAGAAAAATAATACATCATGACCAAGTAGGATTGGACTCCTGGTATGGCGCTGTGGGCTAATACACTGGACTACAAAGTCAGTTTGAACAGCAAGGTTGTCAGTCCAAGATTACCAGCTGCTCCTCAGAAACCCTATACGGAGTTGCTATGGATAGGAATCAACTTGATGGCACTTAACAACAAGTGGGTTTCATACTAGGGGATGCAAGGATGTTTCAATATTCGAAAAACAATCACATAATCTATGATATAAACAACAAAAAAAGAACCATATGATTATTGATTGATGGAGAAAAGGCATTTGGTGGAGTTGCTACAATTTGATGAACTGGACCTTTGCTTATGGATGTAGTTGCTCAAAATTCCAATCAAAAGGGAAGGATTCATATCAAGGATCAAACTTGCCTCCTCAGTACACTGGGTTGATAGGGACTGACAATTTAGACATTGGCTATCAAAAATGGGAGACTTTTTTAAAGGCACAAAGTGGTTGCCTTATAAGCTTTCATGAGTGTGCTTAGTTTCAGAATGAGAGGGGTAAGGTATAATCCCCACTGAATACTTTTTGTCTTGTCCAGATGTGTTTGATGAAAGAGGAAGGGGATATGATTCAATCGTGAGTAATCATTAGCAGGATTGTGATTGCCACAATTGTTTGTTGTTGTTGTTAGGTGCCATTGAATCAGTACCAACTACAGCGACCTTATGCACAGCAGAACAAAACACTGCCCGATCCTGGGCCAACCTCACTACTGTTGCCACTCTTGAGTCCATCGATGCTGCCACTTGGCCAATCCATCTCGTTGGGGGTCTTCCTCTTTTTCTCTGACCCTCCACCTTACCAAACATGATATCCTTCTCCAGCGACTGGTACCTCCTGACAATATGCCCGAAGTATGAGAGACGAAGTTTGGCCATGTTGGCCTCCAAGGAGCACTCTGGCTGCACTTCTTCCAAAATGGGTCTATTGGTTCTTTTGGCAGCCCATGGCACTTTCAATATTTTCCTCCAACACCATAACTCAAAAGTTCTTCTACGGTCTTCCTTATTCATTGTCCAGCTTTCATATGCATATGAGGTTATTGAAAATACCATGGCTTGGGTCAGGCACACTTTAGTCCTCAAGCTGACATCTTTGCTCTTCAACACTTTGAAAAGGTCTTGTGCAGCAGATTTTCCATAATTTGAGAAGATGTGAAACTAAAAGGGGGAGTAAATTTTTTTTTAAGTTTTTATTGTGAATTAAGTGATAGTTTACATGGGAGAACATTAGTTTTACATTCATCCTATCATATTGCATTTCATTGCAATGATTACAATCCCCTCCATGCATCAAACAACTAAAGGGTATACCCTGCAAGCCTGTTCCCCAGCCATCAGCACACAGACCCTCTCCCTCCCTGAGTCCAGAGTCCCCAGCCACTCCATCTATCTATGTCATCATCTCTGCTTCCATCTCTGGTGTCACTGTTTCTCTGAATAGGGTTCCACACACCGCTCTTCTCCCTTGATGGTCCCAGGGACCTCTACTCCTGGAATGCAAAATCAACCACTCCCCTCCTTTTGTTACAAAATGTCTACCTTTACATTTCCAACCCTCACAGTCAGTCCTGATAGCAATTATTCACTATTGAACCACAAGAGTCTTATCCCCATTTCCTTTTATCAGGTCCATCTAGACAAGTTGGAAACCACTCAGTGGAGATTCTACCTTCTACCCTCTGGAACTAGACTCCCTCTTGAAAGCTTGTAAGCTTCTTGCCTTATAAGCTTGTTTTTTTAAGAGAAGTGATATTGAAAGATACATGTAGGAAAGTTTCAGAAGAAGTCTCTAAACATAAAATTTTGTCTGATAAGTATATAGGTATGTATTGCTAAGCTTAGTAGGGGAAGGTGAGGAAAGTAGATTAAAAAGGGAGGAAATTGAAAGCAGAATGTGCTACTAGGATGTTTGTGATGGGTGAGAGGACGGAGTGGAGGAAAAGGAGAAGGTGTGTCGAGTTGGCTCCTTTTGTACGAGTGGTTTGGAAGGGAGATGTAGAACCTGTATTTGAGCGAAAAGTCCTGAGACCTATCTCAGTATTGCTGATGAGCAATCAGAACTTTCAGAGGTTGGGGAAACAGGGAGAGCAGAAACACCATGGAAAAATGCCACGGGAACCTTGGGACAAAGGTGGACAATATACTTTGTCAGTTTTGCTTTGTTCTGATTTTCTTTTTTTCTTTGGTATCTGGTAATTGGCGCACTCACACTGTTTGCCCACCTCCATTCTGGTGACTAGAGGGAGAGCCTGAGCCGAGTGGCCACCCCCTACCATTACCGCTGGTGCTTTCTTCTGCCACACATGCGCACAGATACTCAGCCCAGGTGGAGACCCTGAACTTTTATTATCTGTTTCTTTTTTTTTCTGTTTTTTTTTTTTTTTTTTTAAATCACGGGAAAGAGAAGGAGAGGACTGAAGGGGGAGAAAGAGAGTTTAAAGGCAAAATAGGCCAAAGGTTGGATTGGAGCCTGAGGTATAGCATAACAACCAACACTGGCAACTTGGAATCTCTCAGGCAGCTTTGAAGACAGGAACTTGAAAAGAGAACATTAAAGTCGTACTCATATTGAGGAGCTCTGGTAGCGTAGTGGTTACGAATCGGGCTGCGAACCGCAAGGTCGGCAGTTCGAAACTACTAGCTGCTCCACGGGAAAAAGATGAGGCGTTCTGCTCCCATAAAGATTAACAGCCTGGGAAACCCTGTGCAGGGTCACTATGAGTCGGAACTGACTCCACGGCACATAACAACAACAACAACATATTAAGCTATAGATTTTTTCCTCCTTTTTCTTCTCTCCCTCCTCTCCCTTTTCTGTGACTAGAGACTGCAGTGTTCAGTCTTGTTTTTGTTGATGCTGCTTTTTAGTCTTTTTTTTTTCTTCTTCTTTCTCTCATTTTTTCCCCCACTGGTGTTGTTTTGCTGTAATATGCCGCCCCCCTTCTGCTTTTGGAGGACTCTTTGTCTCCCTACATTACACAAGAAGAGTCAGCAACTGCTGCCATATAGCCAAGCTACAATCACACTCTATAAAACACCAAAACCCCAGAACCAATACCAATTGCCATATACCAGGGAAACAGACAACACCTGTGAAAGTTACTCTGAGTTAAGCAACAAGAAGAGTGAAAAGGGAAGCCCACATCCTGACCACATCTTCCTGGAAGCAATCAGAAAGCATAAAAAAATTACCAAAACACATACTCAATTAAGTATTAAGTTCACAGATAAACATTAAACATGTCCAAGAAGCAAAAGCAGATGACCATATCAGCACATGTCCAGAAAAAAGATAAAATGTCTGAGACAAATAACCTAGA